TTTTTGTGCTCTCGCAGAAACGGTACGAGCTGTGGTGGTCCATATATGTGCTACGTCTTGTACGAAAACACAGACTTTAAATTTCATGTATTCAACTAGAAGTCATTTTTTAGAAAGTTCACAGCAAAAACATCCATGAGAGATTTCACTATGTTCATTATGATTTCCTAAATTTTATGGACTTCCACAATCTGAATGATTCGTGAGAAAATAACTAACTATGTGCTTTTTCATGGTGAGTGGTAACCTCTATTAGCTTGACATAGTTACATCAATACAATATGTTATAGAAACAATAATATGAGATCTAAAATTATATGTTTGCAAGACAAATAGGGTCATCGGCTTCACCAATGTCTGTCTATACACTTTTGCACCCACTAGTTAATATAGTTATCATAATCCTTAACGGTCAACTGCACACATGCTAAGACCTCTTACTGTGTCTTATGTCCATTGTTTAGTTTTAAAACTCATATTAAGGCATGCATGCTCCATCCTCCTCGGCTTTGCCTGCGATTGTCCCGCCTCTGCCTCCGGCCGCCTTGTCTTCCCACCTCCTCCCATTTTCTTCTCACTGCACACACATTCCTACTCCTCATCCTCCTTCCGCCGCCATTGTCGAGCTAGGGCACCACCACACACAGCAAATCCTTCATCAGATGGGCTTATTACCACTACTATCCGATGCCGGTTGTCGTCGCATTTCGTTGGTGACCTAATCACCGTTAATGCACTACTCCATCCACCTTCCGACTCGATGTCGCAGGCTTGTCCCTCTTCGTTCAATCTTCCGACTCGATGTCGCGGGCTTGTCCCTCTTCGTTCCACTCCCTCCCCCTTCTCCTATCCTTCCAATCCAGCGTTCGAAATCTCCTATGTTTCGGTAATTTGGTGGGACTAAAATTTTATAATCTCGAAATTTTGGGCCAGATTCGAATTAATTTCAAGCCAAATTTAAATTAGGCCTGACCATAGCATGATGCAAGCATGCATGAAGATCAATATAACATGATGAAGCTTTAGCTCGCATGGAGATGAGAGCGCAGAGCTAAGAGCTAAATTATAGGCATGCGTGGCGTAGTATAATGCTGGTAGCTAGCGGAAAGCATGCGTCAAAAGGGAATCAGGCCGTAGGCGCCGCTCGGTCGTTGCCGCGCCATTTTCTTATGCTGCTCCGATCCAACTTGCATGCCATGCCACGGCGCGCCCTCCATCGCCCGGCACGGTTCCTCCCCATGTGCCAACGCGCAATAATCGAACTTCGTCCGCACCTATATATACCAGCGCCCGGAGGCTCGCTTGCTCCCCATGCTTCCTACAGCTCACAGCTCTCTCACTCGTCTGCGAACGGCCGGTTGGTTAACTTAGCTGCCACCTTAGCTAGCTCACCTCACATGGGTCTCGAGGTGCTCACGGCGAGGGACCAGCTGCCGATGTGCCGCTACCAGCGGCTCCGCGGCGAGCTCTGCAACGACGACGGCGACGGCGGCCAGGAGGTGGCGGCGTCGGCGTCGGCCGCCAGGTGGACGAGGGCGAGGCGACCGCTGCGGCTGCGGAGGAGGCTGTCGGGAAAGAAGGCGGTGCCGGTGCTGTTCCGGATGGCGCAGCGCAGGCGTGGGGTGAGGCTGCTGATGCGGCTGGTGCTCCTGGCGCCGGCGCGGCGGGCGGCCGCGCTGCTGGCGGAGCTGGTGCGGCGGATCGCGTGCGCCGCCGAGTGCCCCGCCATCGTGTTCTCCTCGCAGTGGGGGCTCCCGGCGCTGTCCCACTCCGCCAGCGGCGGCGCCAGCCGCACCGCCAGGCTGCGGGCTTTCTACCTCGAGAGGAGCCTCTCCGCCGGCTCCGGCGCCGGCTCCCCCTGCTGATCGCCTCACCACACCACACCATCGACAGCCTGCGGATGGTCATCAACTCATCATGCACGCACGAGCTAGCAAATCGTCTTCCCGATACTGTAATCATGCGCTGCATGTAAGGCTCGAGCTATAGCAAAGCATCTTCACGATGCTGTAATCATGTAAGGATTGCTCCTGAAGATGAGTCATGCGTGCACATGGCTTGGCAAGAAGAATGTTGCCGACTCGCTGTAGCTTTACTGCCGAGTGCTTTTGCGTACGTTAATTGAGGCAACTTGCGATTCGTTTTTGGAAGAAAAAAATTTGCATGAGACCGTGCTGTACGTGCTGCTGGCTTTAACTTGTTTCATTGACGTTCGGTTACATCGTCGATCCATGAGCAGGAAACCGAGGATGTACACAAGTACAGAGCAAGCACACCATGACACAATTACGTCACGTAATGGCACGACCACGTATGTGCGCGCGGCCACTGCACATGCTAAGAATTTTTGGGACGCACGAAAGCCTCACGTCTCACGTCTCGTGGATGTTCAAAGCCAATGCCTGTCAGTTTCAGCCTTTCAGCTAGCAAACATGCAGTTTCAGTTTCAATCTCCTTCCAGGGGGAAAGGGCTGGTGAAACAACTAGACGTGCACCAACACTCCAACAGTTCAGCATGGTTACCTGATAGCAGGACACAAATTTGGAAGAAGCGTAATGCGCGCCTGAAACCCTGAACAAACTCTGGAGTCTGGAAGGAACTGATTCAAAGTAAGAGGACGGATACTAGAAAGGCAAGAGTCACAAACAATCTCTACACCAATCCAAGCAAGAATTCTCTGTTATTTCTAAGAAAGAGATCTTTCTAACTGTCATATATTCACAAAATGAAACAAATGCTTATGAGAAGCTACCGCGACACCAGGCGGAGCCTAACCGTCACCGTGTTTTCCTTCTGCAATTCGTGTATGTTTTCCAACTGAATAAATCCGTTCAGGTAAATCCACATTGTTCCAGGTTAGAAGAAAGAACCCACGAAGTCTTGATCTTTCACACCCGACCCAACCAACACAAGTGCTGCGGCAGAGTGCAGAACATTCTGTAAAACCCTGGCTGGATCTTTCAACCACCTGCAGTTCTTCATCCGGTTAAAGAATCCACTGCATGCCAGTATGCCACTACACAACATCAACTGGCACAGAGCTGGAACTTCGATGGCGATCACTGAGCTCCGGCGCCGGGACAGCAGGGACGACAGCAGGTTCAGGTTGCTGCGCGCCTTCCGCGCTTTGTATGCCATCCAAGGCTCTTCTCGCGTAGACCGTAAACCCGACCCCGATAAGAACGGCGACGATGGCAGAGATGACGTTGTACACTATCTCCACTGTTGTCATCCGACGCTGGTCATACTTCAGGTCCGCCAGTGCGAGAATCAGCCGGCCACTGCTCAAAATTATCTTGGTTAGGAGGGAGTATCCGATCTCCTATTTATGGTGCTGGATATCTGAACTCTGAATCATACCTGTAGATGTTGACCAACGCGTCAGGTACCATTCCAACAACCGAGCCACAAATGTAAGGGGTGAACTTGATCTGGGTGACGGTTGCAACATAGTTGAGCATCACATAAGGGAACGGCGAGAGTCGTAACAGCGCAACCACCCGGAACTGCTGGAACCAGCCCCCTCTCCCAGCCAGTTTGATCAGAGCCATCTGCTGAGGCCATTTCTTCTCTAACCATCCCTGCAATGAATTCGGAAACAGATGCAGGCTAGAATTCAGGGCACACTATCATACTCATATTTTATGAAGTGGAGATATGATGAATATTACATGAATGCGATGGAGGAACAGCGAGCCGATCCAGTACGGTATGGACATGCCTATGCCGGTGCCAACCAGGATGATCAAGAGGCCCAGGCCGTAGCCGAATATTATCCCTGTCAACCACATGGACGGGAAAGAAGGCAGGAACACGGTAGGGAAGACGGACATGGACATGACCAGCACAAGGGCCAGCACCGGGCGCCCGAAAGATGTCGCCTCCCATCGCATGATCGGCAGGAGCACCTACAATGCAACATCATGCCGTAAAAGCAGATCAAAGACTCCAACATGCAGATAAAAAGATTAGCCAAATTAGAGTGTAGAGCATGAGCAGTTCAGCAGAGTCCAGAATCCTGATGGCATCATCAGTGTACAAAACAGAAATGGCATGTGCTTATGTACTGTCTGGGAATTGTTTGGATGAATGAACTAGAGATTCCATTGAGTTAACCACATGGGTTCCCCAGGAGACACAATCACGTGTCAAACAGGAGTGAAATTACTAAAGAAAAACAACCAAATCTGTAGAATAGTAGGAGTACTAGTACAGTAGTAGAAGGCTGGGATGGGGGGGACGAAGAACCTTGTCTGATAAGAGGGGGAGCCCCCATTTGTAGAAGGCATAGCCGACCGCCGCCACTAGCAGGCCTCCGAGCACCAGCCTCGTCCACGGGATCCCCGACCACCACCGCCGCCTCGGCCTCGGCCCCGGTTGCGGGTGCGCAGGCGCAGTCGCAGGCAAATTCTCCACTCTCACCTCAGGTGCGGCCGATGGCGTCGCACTCGCCGCTCTCACCTCAGGCGCCGCCGATGCAGTCACACTCTCCGCCCTCACCTCAGACGCCGCGGATGCCGCCACACTCTCCGCTCTCACCTCAGGTGCCGCCGATGCCGTCACACTCCCTGCTCTCGCCTCCGGTGCTGTGGGTGCCGCCAAATTCTCCGCCCTCGCCTCAGGCGCCGCCGATGTATCCGGAGCCGGCGGCGGCGGCATCGGCGTGACCGTGACCTGCACCGCCGTGCGCCCGTCTCCTTCCGAGTCGTGCGGCCGCGAGCCTACCTCGCATCCCCCCGATCCTGCCCCGCCGGGGGGCTCCGGGGAAGAGCCCGGCGCGCCTGAACCCTCCGCCGCTGCCACCTCCTCGGAGCTAAACACGTGCACGCACGGATCAAAACATAGTCGGTCAGGAAACCAAAGAGACGACGCGCGGCGGCATGAAACAGCGTGCGTGTGCGCGGCGGGCTTACCTGCGCATCGTGCTCTCCCGAGCCGTGGACGCTGCGCTTGCCTAGATGCTGCTGTTGCTGCCGAGAGCGATGGGAGAAGGAAGCGGCGCGCGTCATGGCGTGGTAAAGGAATGAACGCGTGGGCGAGGTGATGGAGGGAGAGGGCGGAGATGCCACGGAAGAGATCGATCGACTCGATCGGGTCTCTCTCTTCCTCCCCGAACCGCGGGAGACGAGGACTCTGAGAGGGAGCGAGAAGCGGGCCCAAGACACGGCCCGTGGGCTAACGGATGGAACTGGCCCGCGAGAACAAAAACTAGCAGCCCGACGACATCTGGGAGCTGTTTCCGGTGGTCCCACTTATATCTGGCCATGGGCCGGGCCGGGCCGGGCTTGGGCCGGGCCTGAAAAAGCCCACGGCAGAAAACTGAGGCCCATGCCCTCTCAGACCTATCACTGGGCCTAATTTTCAAGCCCAAGCCCGGCCCATCTGGTAAAAAGCCCTAAAAAGCCCTTAAGGCTTAGGGCCGTGGGCCGGGCCTCTTCCTTAAAATGCCAATATGCCAAGCCAATCTCGTCCAGGCCCTACTGGTGGGCTCAAAAGTCAGGCCCAAGCCCGGCCCATGGGCAAGCCCATCGGACCTAGGCCCTAGATTTTAGGGTCGGGCCTGGGTGGGCCGACAGGGCTGGGCCTGAGATGGCCAGGACTAGTCCCACTCGTCTCCGACGGCTGCAGGATAGAGAACAGCATGTCAATGTCTGGAGTGCGGCTTACGCCATTCTTATGCTATGTTTGCGTGTGGTACACCATGACGCCTCAATGGTGGAGGCCGTGTTGTACGAAATAAAAGTACGATTCTTCTTCTATCCATGCTCTATTGCGGCTAGTCCTGGCCATCTCAGGCCCGGCCCTGTCGGCCCACCCAGGCCCGACCCTAAAATCCAGGGCCTAGGCCCGATGGGCTTGCCCATGGGCCGGGCTTGGGCCTGACTTTTGAGCCCACCAGTAGGGCCTGGACGGGCTTGGGCTTGGCATATTGGCATTTTAAGGAAGAGGCCCGGCCCACGGCCCTAAGCCCTAAGGGCTTTTTAGGGCTTTTTACCAGATGGGCCGGGCTTGGGCTTGAAAATTAGGCCCAGTGATAGGCCTGGGAGGGCCTGGGCCTCAGTTTTCTGCCGTGGGCTTTTTCAGGCCAGGCCCAAGCCTGGCCCGGCCCGGCCCATGGCCAGATATAATTGCGGCTAAGGCCAACTCCACCGCGTGACCCATTTTTACCCCAAATCGTCCGTTTGTGTCCGTTTGGGGTAAAACGGACAAACCGAACGACCCACCGCATGGGAGCATATGGACGTTTCGTCCGGTCCGTGTCCGCTTTTGCCTCATTTCCAGACCAAAGTTGCTCTCGGTTTGGGGCCAAAGCGGACAGAAAGCGGACGTCTTCGCATCCTCGTCGTCCATCTGTGTCCGCCCTCGACCCCACCTGTCAGTCTCTCTTTTTCTCTTTTTCTGTACCTGCCTAGCACGCGCACCACGCCACTCTAGTACAGCAGTAGCACCGGCCCCCCTCCAGTTCACACCCATGGCGCCTCCGCCTTTGCTCTCCCTCTCCACGCTCCTTCTCCTGCTCGCCGCCGCCTCCCATGCCTCTGCCAAGCCAAGCAGTAGTACCGGCTGGAGCGGGACGAGAAGAGGGCAGCGCCGCTCTCTGCGGCCGCTCGCGCGGCCAACGGCACGCGTCGCGCCGGGGGAGGGGTCGTGGCGCCGGTTGTGTCCGGCCTGGCCCAGGGGAGCGGGGAGTACTTCACCAAGATCCCGGGCACGCGCACCTCGTACACCCACTACCCGACGCGCTCCCGGCGCTGGCCCGGCTCGACGGCCTCGCCTTCTGCTACTTCTGGCTGCGCCTCTCCGGGCGCCGGAGCGACAGGCGCCACCGCGAGGGGGAGAAGGTCGCGCCTCTCCGGGCGCCGGGCTGCTCTTCATGCCCCTACAGAACGGCCAACTCCACCGCGGGCA